TGGGGTGGGGGGGGGGGGGGGGGGGTTTTTTTGCTTCCATAATATCAGAACATTTTCCCATGTTTCTTACCTCTTTGTTGTTGTCATCATTACATTAAAAATAAGCATAAAATCAGTCTCATATTCATAACTCTAACAATAAACCACACTAAAACACCTTCAAGGAATTTGGGGAAGTAGTCTTTATATAACTAAAAAAAGTCTTAATTTGCTGGCAGTGAATTCAAATTTGAATTATACTCTCTAGAATGAAAGTCTCCTATTATGCTTATGTAACTGGTCCATATCTGAGGCCCTAACAGTAGATTCTCCAAAATCAAAACCAGACTTAATCTTGAAGAATGATTTTATTAAATATCTTGAATTTAAAAAGAGAAAGTGAAATTACTTACTTCATCGATATTTCCAAGTCTCCAGTAAGTAGATCGACATAAATTCTTTGAACCCAAAGGAACTTGGTTTATATTATAATCCTTAGGTTCAGCCTCTTTGTCTTGAAGGCTTAAAAAAATGCACATTTGTATGTTTATTTGTAAAAAGACAAAAGAATTATTAACTCTTGCTTTGAATGCAAATTGAAATTTCACTAGACATACATAAATATGAACATATATCTTACACTCAACACTACTTTCTCTCTTATGCTACTGCTATTATTATTAGTAGTAGTATTAATATTATTAATTATTATTAATAACTAACCAATCATTCAGTCCTCCTCCACTTTCAAAACTGTCATAACTCAAAATGGACCAAAAAAACCCAACAACAAAAAAACAAGCATAATCCAATTTTAGAACAAAGCATCTTTTGATAAGTGAACATACAGCATTTACTGAAAAAGCACTACATAAATTTCATTACAAAAACACTACAAATATATTACTGCATTATGTAGTAAGCCAGAAGCAAAGTACAGCTATGCATTTTTCAGTCAAGAACTAGCATTCAGAAATGTGACATGTCCAGTAGACATTGATTCACAATTAAATATGATGCACAAACCCTAGAAGTTTTTCTAATTAGAGCAGTATCTAATATTCAATTCAAAGGGGTCCATATCTCCATTTGAAATTTTTTAGGAGTCCGCAAATGAAAAGAGGTTAAAAAGGGCTGGAGATAAATGTTCATTTTCCCCTCATTTTAGAATTAAAAAAAGCAACACCCACTTTTTGAAAGTATGGAACTACTGTATTTTCTGACATAAAATACGCTCCTGAAAAAGATAAGGACCTTAGTTTTTAACGGCACAATGAAGTAAAAAAAAAAAAGTTTCCTTGAAAATACTGGGAAAGCACAGGCAACTGGGTAGGGGACTGAAGAACAGTGTGGCTGCTGTTGACCCCCAAACTGCAGGATACTGCAGGTGCTTCTAGCTGAGCCAAAATGCCCAATAACTCTTTTCTTCTCCAGCTGAGCTGGGTGGGGGAGCCAGCAGCACCTACTGGGCCAGCTGAAGGCCCATCTGATCCAGCAGGAGCTCTGCCACAGCACCCAGGGCTTGGCTCCACTTAAAAAAAAAAAAAAAACAACTTCTATACTAGAAGCCTCTGCCACAGAGAAAGAGAAAGTCTCCACATCCAGCAGCTAGGTATCCCTGCGTGCTCACTAGGCTGCCCCCTGTGCAACACATGTAGCATTACTTTCATAGGTTCATAGGTTCATAGATGTTAGGGTCGGAAGGGACCTCAATAGATCATCGAGTCCGACCCCCTGCATAGGCAG